TGGATGTATGTGTGGATTGTAATAAGAGTTGTATGAGCCCCCAATAAAATTATTTTTTTTTAAAAAGAAGAAAGTCTGCCCCTTAATACTCAACAATTGGCAACTGTGATAGTTTCTAAGGAACTTCTTGTGTGTGTTACCATATTTAATGAATATAGAACTGAAAAAAGGAATAACTGTAGATGAAATAGAGATTTCAAGGTTTTTATTTTTTTACTTTGTTTTACTTTGTGACTTCCCAAACTGGCAACTGGTCTACAAAGCTAAGTGTCATCAGAGGAACAATTAATGTAATGATCAAAGCTTTCATCTGAGAATATATGTGAACTATTTTAGGCATTTTAAAATTTTTCTATGATGTTAAATTTTAATGTTTAAAAACTTCTGAGGCATAACCAAATACATCAAGTTGCCAGGTCTGGGGACTCGGGCCATAGTCTATGAGGGGACTATGGTCAGTTGGCATAACATTCAAGAGGCTCCCCCCTCCAAAAAAAGGATTTTTTTCTCCAAAAAGCTATGTATTTAAAGTTTTTTACAAAACAACCGTATCACCTTCAATGTACTTTCAATTACACTTAATACATTTGTCAAATCTGCAATTCCATTCTTGGAAGCATTTTTCCAACTCATCTATTTGCATGGCTGACAGCACCTCCCGCGTTTTTTTCTTCACCTCTTCTACGTTGCCAAATCACTATCCTTTCTTGTTGCCTCGTCATTCTTGGAAACAAAAAGCAGTTGCATGGAGCGAGTTCAGGTGAGTAAGGTGTGTGGGGCAAGAGAGGCATGCTATTTTTTGACAAAATTTGACACCTTGAGATGGCTGCATGAGCAGGTACACTGCTGTGGTGGATAAACCAGTCTTCTGTCAGCCACAGATCAGGCCTTTTTGTCCCATACGGTTACACATTTGTTTTACAACCTCAAGTAGAAAGCTTGATTAACAGTCTGACCTGGTAGAACGAACTCCAAATGCACTACTAGTAAACATTTTCATCCACTCAGGAAGTTGATGGAAGTCCAGAATGAGGTTTTTCATCAGTCGACATTTCACCTTTTTTGAAACAAGAAAACCATATGTACACTTGAGTTTTCCCATAGTGCTGTCCTTGTAAGCTATGTTCAACATCACAACAGATTCGGCAGCTTTTTTCCTAAGCAGGAAACAAAATTCCACAGCCACAAGCTGTTCTTTTAAATCAGCCATCACAAAAAATCAGATTTAAGTGAAAGTGCTTTTACGAAAAAATTCACTGTGACCAGAGAGAACCTTCTCGGGTGATGCCACTGGGTGCACTAACTCAGAGCAAGCTGCTCTATGCTTGCCTAGCAGAAAAATGCGTGCTAGGAAAGCTCTGCTTTGCCCAGCGCATTTCTGCTTTTTTGGGAGACCTCCTCGTATTCCACAGAGACGATGTTCCACATCCTATATTGGTGAGTAGCAATTAGGGTCTTCAGAGCTTGTGAGCAGCCATCGTACCTGCAACTATTGGTCTCTCCCTTTCTGGAGTGAAGAAAATGAACAAAACCAAAGATTCAAGGAAACAATTAGTTCAAAGGATTCATGCAACATGTGTGCCCCACCCTCCATGATCCTGAGACCAAAAGAACTAGCTGGTTCTCTGAAAGAGATCACAATAGAAGATCCTAGATAGAATGTGGGTAAATGTGGAACAAAACTAAATTACTCAAAAGACCACACTTGCTGATCTGACAGAGACTAGAGGCATCCCCACGACTGTGGCACTTAGATTTCTTTCAAACCTGAAGCTGAAATCATTTCATGGCTCCACCTTCAACCTAAAACAAACAGGTCTGTAAGGCAAACAGTAATTCCGAGGAGATATGCGCTCATTAGAACAATCAACCATGTGCAATCAAAAGGGCATTTGCCCAGGATAACGCTCCAAAGACATGGAAAAGGGAAACGTGTTGTTTGTGCAAATCGCAATCAATATCACAAAGCAAAATACATATAAATCCTTGAATGGAATAAAAATATCACTCAAATCACAATAAATAAAATAAAATGATATCCTGTGTTACATAAAAATTCTCAATAAATAAAAGCTTGTGTAATATAAATTTATAACCTGTCAGTTTCTTGTATTTGCACTAAAAATGTTGATTTTATAAAAATAATCAGGTTTATACATGCTTAGAAATAGAGTATG